GATCATGGAGCTGAGGGTGGTGACCAATAAACTGAGGCATGCTATGAGTGGACAGGACATGGACTTCATGGACAGTGAGTGTTCCTAAAATTTTGACTTGATATTCTTATATCTGCTCCATATTTCAGATGAAAATGTGCTTTTCCTGTTTCAGGTGAGGAAGGCAGTGGCTCAGGAGGTGGAGATCATGGCGAAAGGTACAATCATGACTGGCCAGGTTATGGGCCTTACTCTCCACCCTACACCAAACCCTCAAATAACCCCGCCTCCAACCCTGCAAAGCCGCCTCGAGGCCGAGACAGAAACGGGTCCAAGTGGAACAGAAACAACGGGCAGGGACGGGTTCGATCTGCAGCTGGTCTGCTCTTTTTCTCCCCGTTTTCTTTGTTGCCTCTGCCTTTTGTGGTCACTGCTGCCACCATGTGGAGATAGCTGGTTATTAAAGTGTGGAAGTGAGGGGAAAATTTCTGTCATGCTGGAGTCTAAAGCACATTATTAAGAAAATAATTGCCATTCCATTCGGTTACACCAGCATTAAACAACAGTAAAAACAGGCTAATTCAGCAATAATCAAAAACCTGTTTACAGCACTGAATATTTTTCCTACTCCCCAAGCAACTAATGAGAAATAAAACACACTGATAATTAAAAACACAACTTAAAAATATCATCTTTTATTTTTTTAGTGTCATGTTTGACTGATTGGCTTTAGATGCTGAACGGTGTGCAGTGCTGGGAGTCTTAAGGGGAACAAAGGAATAAACTTTTCAACATCAAATGAATTGGCAGGATGTGTGGGTGATGGCGGTGACCACTTGGTGGTCTGTGAGGTAGAGATTAGCTGTGCCCATAATTACTATGTAGTTTCAGTGAGCAGCTGATTTAACGTACATTTGTTTGCTGCTTCTCTCTTTAAATTAAGTTTCAGTACATTGGAGTTCAGTTTAGCTGTGGTTCGTTTAATTAATTTTTTCATCTTTTTAAAGCAGTAAGATAAAGTTTTTTAAATTAAAGCGCCATACTTTGGCTTGGAAACATTTGAAAAAGGCAAAAGTGTGACTCTTGAAACCAAACAATGGGCTGATTTTGAATGTAAAAGCTCAAACCAAGTTGGGTTGCTTATATCAGTGTAATATATTGCTGTTTTTAATTTATTTGTAATATCATATTTTGTTTTATTATTATTATTTCAAGACAATGGCTGTGTGTTTTCTTCTAATGTAAGTTTGTCTTTCAAGTTCTCTGGTGGTGAAAAAAGGGAAAAATCAAGTTGTATTAATACTTTTTTGTAAACCAGTCATTTTAAAATATTATCCTATACATCAGAACACTTATTATCAGCTGTAGTTTTCTGGCTTCTTTACTTCTAAACAGAGAGGGGTAAAGAGCATCATGTGTGAGTGTGTGCGTATGTGTGCGTTTGCGTGATCGTTTTATGATGTTTGTTATATGTGCCGGTCTTGTTGAGAGGATGCTGGGACCTTTTTTAATAGTATGCTTTTGTACTTATTTTTCCTAAAAGCAACAAAAGTTGTTGAAAACAGTCGGTGAGCACGCTACGTATTGTAACATTGGACTGAATGGTTTCAGAGAGAAAAATGATGTCAGAACTTAGATGATGGTTCTTAATTTTCATGTGCTGTTTTAATGAAGATAAAATCAAAGGGTTTTCTAGACAAAGCTTGTGAGGAGTTGTCATCAGGAAAGAGGAGAAGAAAAGATTAGTTTAACATTCTGGGAAGTGTGCTTAGCTTGCAAAGTGTAAAATGATAAGTTTAAGATTTAGAAAACAACAAAAAGACGGATTCAGCAGCTGATTAGTTTAAAACAAAGTAACTAGCTTGGATGAGAAAATCTATATACAAGGAATGGTTGAATTTGCAAATTAACATATTTTAACTTTTTTAATTTGTGCAAAAATAATTGATCATTTTACACGGGTTACATACTGATTGTTTATTGGCATGAAGAAATTGACAGATCTGCTAATAAAAATGCAATCTTTGCCAAGAAATAGACCAACACACACTTACCAGCCACTTCATAAAGTATATCAGTTCAGTTGTTGATGGAAATATCTGCCTAGCTAGTCACGGCAGGCATGTAGACATGTTAAAGATGACCTGGTTAATTTCCACCTGCAGCAGACTGGGTAAGAATTAGTATTTTAAGTGACTTTGAACATGGCATGGTTATTTATGTTAGATGGGCTGGTCTGAGTATTTCAGAAACTGCTGATTCACTGGGGATTTTCCCCACACAACCATCTCTAGGGTTTACAGAGAATGGTTTGGCAAAGAGAAAATATGCAGTGAGTGGCAGTTCCCTGGGACAAAATACGTTTTTGATGGCCTGAGGTCAGAGGAGAATGACCAGATGCATTCAATCTTGAATCAGATGGTCTATAGTAGCAGTAGACCACACTGAGTGCCACTCCTCTCAGCTAAAAATGGGGAACTGAATCTATGATTCATGTGGACTGACCAAAATTGGATAATAGAAAGATTGCCTGGTCTGATGATCAGATGAAGATGGTTTGGTCAGAATTTGGTGAAAACAAGAACATAGAGCACCTTTGGGATGTGGTGGAACAGGCGATTAGCATCATGTGTGTGCAGCTGACTAATCTGCAGCAACGGTGTGATGCTGTATTAAGAATTTATCCAAAACCTTCCTTAAACTATGTTGCAACGAATTAAGGTAGTTCTCAAGGTTCCCTGAAGTTGTAACCTATGAAGTGGCCAGTGAGTGTATAACCTTGGTATCAATTTGTACACTTTACTTTTCAGCATCTTTAAAGTAACATTTTCTTAAACATTATTCAGTGTTGCATTTTAATTTGTGTTTTGTAAAGTGAACATTGACAATGTTTCTCACTTTCTAGCTTTTATGCTAAGCTGCTTGCTTTAGGTCCACCTTAAAAAAAAGCAAATAAGCACAGTTTCCAAAATGCTCAACTATTTCCAGGAGATGATGAAAGTGACTGAATAGAACAGCTGGGGAGACAAGAGAATGTATAGATGCTGCAAAAGGACACTTAAATTGAAGAGAAATTGTAAAATCCCATTTGCTTGTAACAGAATTAAATCTACTGAGGTGGAAATATGCCTGTAAAATAGGAGTATGATCTAGAGAAGGATTTCCTTTCATAACATATCCATTTTACACCAATTACCAACTGTTTCCAACTGCTTTGAAAATGCTCAGTGGATAACAGGAACTGTGTAATGCTAACATATTAGTATGGACCAAATTCTCTGAGGACTGTTTCCAGCACTTTGTTGAACAAAACGCAAACAAAATGCCAGCATGTGAAGGTGGATATGTTAATTTGAAATGAAAGCCTTCAGCAACAGTAGGAACCGCGGCTAAGACTTCACCACACACAGCATTATATTGCACAAAAAAAATGACAAAGTGTTTCACAGTATTTTAAAAGCAACAGTGTTTTAATCATGTGCTTTCAGTGCTCAGCAGTCAGACAAGTCTGTTATGGCTGCAGTATTTCCATTCAATTTTAGGAAAGTTGTTTTTGAGTCCGAACTCACATCCATTCCTGCAACTCCCATTCCTTCATGGTGAAAGTATAGCACAACTTTTTTTTCTTCATGTTGTTGTGACAGTTTTTTGGTATCAAACAAGTGACATTTTTTTTTTTGCTTCATTAAAAAACTGAAGAAAAAGATGTTGATTCTTTAATTTTTTTTAAGGTAATTATATTTAATAACAGCCAAAATACAAAAACTAAACAACACATGCTTTAGTTACAGAATATTTCCATGTTCAGGCTTAGATCATATGCACAAGTCACCAGCTCAACAAAAAGAACAAAGAAGACATAAGAAGACTGCAGAGAACAAGCAAGTGATCCAAAGTGGACTACGAAAAAACAAATCCAAAACAAGAAACAAAGTCACTGAGGTAAACATGAAGACAAGAACAGATACAGGACAGTAAACTGGCAGGCAAACAAGAAGTAGAACAGGACAGACTGACAACTGACAAATGGAAAGAGAACTACATCATTTAATAATACTAATGCAAATGTTTACTTCTGTCTCAGCTCCTATAAATACATGGTAGAGACCTTTCCTATTTCTCTGATTTGTGCCTCATTGTCTCCTCTATCCTCCTGCTGCGATCTGGAAATCAGTTTCAGTTTACCATAGTAAAGGATATCTCACTTCCTAAACTGCATCTGGAGGGCACGGAAGAGAAGAAAGCTTTTTTTCTTTGCATGCGACCTTCACCACTCCTCTTTGAAAGATTAGGTAGCATCTTTTCTTTCTGTGTGAGAGGGTAAAACTTACCTCAGTGAAACACAAGAAAACAAACTGGATTAAGTATGAACAAAGATTAGCAGCTAGTGAGATGGTTTACAGTTTATGCTGTGAAGTTTAATTTAGAGCCTGAAATTGCCATTTAATTTAAAAGAGGACAAAATGAAACACAGAAGCAAAACACTGAAGTGCAGGAGCTACAATTGAGAGCGCACAGGTGTGTCATTTATGGGAGCTGAATATCCAAACAGGCTTGTCCTCTTTATCGATTTTTTTCAGTTATTTAAGATGATCAGATTTTCTGCCCTTCACTGTTTTGTGTGTGATTAAAAAAAAAAAAAGGAGTATGTTTATAAGGTTTGACTGTGATTGTTATGCATGTAGTGAACATCTGCAAATTACTGTGCGTATGGCTACAGTAATATAAAACTCTTCCATGCCGATTATGACAATTTAACAGAATGAAAAATTAACACTGCCACAAAATATGTAAATTTGCATTTACTTGAAATGCATGAAAAATGACCACTCTTAATTAAGTAGCTGGGCATTCAAAACATTGTATCTTCCTTCTACTGGCTAGAAATAAAAAAAATGTTTGGTAGTCTCTCCTTTTTTTGTTATGTAGCCAAGATGCTGAGCATTTGAGGTGAGACATAATCAACTTTCCACACCATGTTGGTAAGTGCACTTGCACACATACAACAGAAAGTGTTAAGTCGGGAAATAAACAAAGGAAAAAGAAGGAGACAGAAATGAAAAAGGGAAAATGCTGGAAAAGTGTAAACATGCAAATAAATTGGGTGACAAAACAAACAAAAACCAAAACAATAAAAAAATAAATCCTAACACATCATAAAATGATCAGATAATTCTGTGCTGATAGTAGAAAATATAAAACAACAGCTTGCCATGGAAGCCTCAGTGTTGTTCTTAAACCTTCAAGGTGTCCTTAAGGTTTGCCCTTTAGCCTTTAAGGGGCGCTGTCTCTGTGTTTGGAGCTCCATTATCTGAGAACTTCTTCTTATGATCAATGCAGTGGATGCACCCACGCTTACAAAAAGAAATAAGGACAAGGGTCAGTATGACAGTTCACAGACAAGTTTGTAAAAAGTAAAGAATTCATGAAAAATATTAACTGTTTCAACTGTTCATTGTACATTCAAAAATCCTCATCTATGCCACATTTAAGTGCTTTCAGACTGCAGAAATTTGCTTTTTCTATTTAAATTATTCACAATTTAGGAAGAATGCTAAGAGTAATGCTTACAACTGCTGGAAAAAACAAACTGCTTTTACTGCTTTGTTGGAAGATTACCGAGAGACTGATTTGACACTGCTGATGCTATGAACTGTATAGCTATCAGCTCAGTGAACTTTTAAAACAACATTTTACAGGTATTCTGTATTTCTTGTTACCTTCCACAGTAGGAAGCCTAAAAAGGCCAACAGCAGCAGCAAAGACATGACTGTCAGGAGGATTATCCACCACGCAACTTTGACCAGGAATTCAGTCTTTCTCTCAAGGAACACTGTCAGTTTTGCCTGTGGACATTTAGATGATGATAATAATAATGATAATAATAATAATAATAATAATAATAATAATAATAATAATAATAATAATAAGCAGACCCAAAACAACAGTATAGTATGTCTTCAGATGCACAAATCCTAGAAGGCTGTGACTTTCTGTCCATCTTAGACTGTTACAAACATTATTTTAATGTAATTGTTATAGTACACTGAACTCAAAGGTAGCTCTATTAAAGAGCAACTGCTCATGTGAGTAATTTAACAAAATTGGTCTTAACAAACAAACAAACAATTTTTTTTTTTTTTTTACCTTTGTCCTGAGTTTTTCTGGTTTAAGTCCAATGTTCTCTGGAGCGTTGGTTAGAGTCAGAGTTGCATCAACAACAATGAGAAGATAGTTTAAAGAGCTATAATCCTAAATGGAAGAGAAAAACTGAATAAGATACTGGTGACATGCTGCTAAGTAAGGCTGGAAATGGGTAACAGAGTGAGAAACAAGTCCATGTGAGTGTTTTGTAGAAATAAGAATCTACACTAAATTATTGTTTAATTGCCATGAAGGTTTCTAATGGTTTTAATTTGTTCCTAAGTATTAGCCTACTCACAGGTAGGGATGGGTATCGTTTAGGTTTTATCCGATACC